ATCGTAATTAAAATGAGATCAGTGAAAAAAGAGCCACGCATGTACATGAAATGAAGTTCTGCTGTAGTTGACACACAAAAGCGCAACCCCTCACGCTCTTGACACATCAATAAAGTCACCCTAACCAACACACACACACACACACGCACTCATGCACACAGAGCAATTGACATATGCAAGTTATTTTTTTTTTTTTTTTTTTTGTGTAATTGAACATTTCAACAACTCTTTTGGCGAACAAATAAAATTACGAGTAAGCTAAGTGGAGCAGAGTGTTTAATGTGACAAATTGTTGATTGCCATATCTATATAAGTATATAAGGTAGATATATTTATATACACATTTAGTGAAATGCAGAGTCGTGAAATTTGTGTTCTTTTAATTAAACTGTATTTATTTTTTGTGCTGCAATTTTAATTTGACATTTTTTTCCCGTCGCTCAGCCGCTGAGCGAGTGCCATAATGAGTATGTAAATTGCTGCAAAGTTATGTCCTCAATTTCGAACGGAGCACTCGCTCGGCAGTCGGCTCTTTGACAACTGTTTTACGAGCGCATAAAGTTCCCAGCCACATGAGTCTCGCTCATTAGAAAACGGCGCACAACTTTGGATATGCCCTCATAGATTTACCTAAATAAGTGGAAAGCCAAATGTACTGCATACCCCCTCGCGTAGGCGCAGCTGTTTGGTATTTATTCTCCCACTTTTATTTTTCAAAATATTTGGCCAGAAAACAAATAAAAGTTTAAATATGAATTTACTTTAACTTTTTTTATATCCTAGTAATCAGCTTGAAATTATCGCAAAGTTGGATGGAATTATATTTTTTTTCGCAGCTGCGCATGATGAGGCATGAAATACACTAACAAATTGTCTGTCAATATAGACAAAAACTATGTCATAACTTAAAATTCGGTATAGAAAAGAAAGGCTTAACGATGATATGAACTATCTTACAACATTTTTTATAAATTATGTTTTTATTTTTTTTATAAATTAATAAAATAATTTCTTAACTATTAGAAGTTACTTCACATATAATTTAACAGAAAATATTTTTTTTTTTTGATATTTTCTGATTAATTTTGATTGAATGAATAAATATAGACATTTCACTGAGAAAGTATATAAATGACACTATAGCTATCGAAATATTTTTTAAATTAAAAAAGCATACATCCACTTAACAGAAATTCATAAAATGATCTTGTTGAAACTAAAACAAAACTCACAAAAAAGTAACAAATAATAAGCAATTTGTTATCGATTACATTAGTATCGATATTCATTTACCACCGTCCAGAATGAAAACCAAAATACCCCACAGTTAGGGTAAACAAATACCAAGCTTAGCAGTAGCAGGAGCAGCAGGAGCCGCAGCAGCATCATTTGTTGGTATTATTTGTCGTTCGCTTATCAACGCACTTCCGCATCATTAAATAATTTTATCATTTACATTATTTTCACTTTCTAAGCACAAAGCGCTGACCGAATAGAATGGGAATGGAAATGATATGGGGGTTAAGTTGTGGCTGGCTGTGTGAAAGCTGATTTTGACTCGGCTAATTTGTAATTTATGCAGCCAAAATAAAAAAAAATCGTATCAAGGAACGTCTTCTTTTAATTAACTGCAGAAAACTTAGGAGAAAAGTAAAAAAAAAAAGTTTACCCAAGCAAAGTTTTCTCAGCTTTAAATTTAATGCCAAATCATAATAAAAAGCTGAAAGAAGAAGATTCAAGTGAAAAAAGCTCTACTCTAAGATATTTAAATAAAAGTAAAAGTATGCACAAGACAAAGGAATAAAATTAGGGAGATGAAAATTGAAAAATGATAGAGAAAAGCGAACATTTAAAGTTTGGAAAATCTTCTTTATATATCAGATATTTAGGTTTTATAAATGCGTCTTTGGCCGAAAGTACAACACTTTAACCCATTAATTTAGACACATTCATTTGTGATTTTTGTAAGAGATTTTTTTTTGTGTTCACTTTGTATAATAAATTAAGAAGTGAAAAAATCTTTTTCCTGCTCACTTCCAAGTGCATTTCAAAGCCATTAAAGTTCTTCAGCCTGCCACTTGATAAAAAAAGAAGAAGTAATACAAAAAAAAAAAAAATAAATATTAAAATGGAATGTAAATGCCAAAAGACATGAGAAGAGCATGGCAGGCAGCAAACGATAATGAGGACACACAACAACAACAGTAACAAAAGGAAATGCGCTTAGATGACGCATACGAAACTAAGAGTTACCCACTGACTGGGACTGAATGTATTCATATACATATATACTTTGAGCTTTTCGGCTTCTTAGGTAGACTTGAGTAATTAACCTAGCAAATTCATATAATATTTAATAGATTCATTTAATATTTTACATGTTTTAGTTAGCTAATTTATTGTCTTTTGGTATAGCGTTAGAAAGTAAACTATAAAAACTATAAACTATAACTATTTCTATATACAGATTCCAAAGAAGCTGACGTGAACTAACTTTGCATTCTACTGGTCTTATTTGTATTTTCATATATTTATTTATTTTGTTTTTAATAAATTATTTTATTTTTTATTAAACAAGTTCTCTTTTAGTGGCCATTTTACCTTAAATAATTTAATTTTTTTAAGAAAAAATCGATTAACTTATTATTATTTAGTTTTAAAATTTTTTTTTTATTATTATTTACAAGATAATTTATTACAGATTCTTGCCTATCACAACATTCAGTTATATGCGCTTGGAATACCCACTTGCAAGCAATCGTCAATTTTTACAGGGTATTGCGGCACTTGCAACTACAATGATAATGTTGCTCACTGTTGATGACAACAGCAGCTGCAGCTGCAGCTGCAGTGGCAGTAACTCTGGCTGTGCCTGTCGCTGTGGTAGTTGCAGCAACAGCAGCAGCAACAAATGACGGAAATCAGCCAGTGAATGCAGCCCAAGCCTAACGCCCATACCGCGCCTACCCTACAGCACCCTCTCCGGCAGTTCACTCAAGCAACCCTTTTTTACGCGGCAAGTCCTTGGTTACAGGACTCTAAGCGCTGCCGCTGCTCATTTTCGCTACTAAATAAGACAGGCACGCCCCCGCCCCCGGCCCACACAACATTTTGACATTTTTTTTTTTGTGGTACTTCTTCTTTCTATTTGTAGCTGCATAATTTGTTGGCTCAAAAGGCGGCAGCAGCAGCAGCAGCAGCAGCAGAGAAAATATGCGACCGGCATTTGGACAGGCACTCGTACAGCCGCCCATTATATATAGGGAAAAAATGTACCTACTATATATCCATTATAAATGTCCAATTTAAAGTGTTTAAGGCGAGCTGCATGGAAATGAACACTCAAGAAAATTGTTTTTTCTTTTTCTGCACACACACGCACGATTTAATCCCAATTCGAAAGAAATGTGCGCAAATTCTTCTTGTTTTTTTTTTTTTGGGACGGAATCGTGGCTTAGTCAAGTGAAATGTCAGCCACTCAAAAAAATGTGCGGCATGGCATGACAAATCTACCTAACAACAACAAGCAACAATACAGCAAACAGCAAACAACAATGCCAACTAAGTTTATTTGAGACTTAACGATTCGGAAACAAACACACAGACGACAAATTATTTGGCCATCAAGCGCAGAAGTTGCATGGCGAGTGGGAGCACTAGGGGCGCTGGCAGAGGGGATGGGCGTGGAGTTCGTTTTGGAGTTGTAGTTTGTTGAAAAATTATTAATTTTCACAAAAGTCAACAGCACGCAAACACAGACACACACACATACAGCCAAATCTGACATGTTTATGCACACGAGTAAACAGCTAGCAATAAATAGCATAGCATACTTTGCAGCGCAAGCGGGTAAATAGTCTGTGTCTGTGTGTGTGTGTGTGTGCAAAGCTAAAAGCCAAATTATGCCAAATTTATGAGTAATTGTCGGCGAAAACTAAAAAACAAAGAAATAAAAACACCCTTTCGTGTGTGGGATTAAAAAGCTAATGCTCAACTTTGACAGATGAGCTACATTGGAGCAAAAAGCAGCAACAAATTTTATATTTATACTACCTTGAACCCATTGATAAGGGATAATGGTAAGACATAAAGGCGAGAGCCCATATACTAAGCTGACTCTATTTAGCGCTATCCATTTGAGTGTCTCTCTCTGTGTTAAATTTATCTTTTACAATAGTGAAAATGTTGAATTAAGTTATCATAGTCAACTTCGCAGTTAGTGGAGCGTTAGCAGTTAATCGAGCAATCTAGAGCTGGCTTATTTTAACATAGCTAGCAAATAACTGTTGATAATAAGTTCTGTGAAAAGAAACTCAGAGAGCAACCGCATGCATCGAGTCTTCAACGAGCTCGTTTGCGATCTCCTTGCTTTAGTTGTTTTTTTTTTTTTTTTTTTTTTTTTTTTTTTGGCTCGTTTTATTGCCCGCTCGATTGGTTGAGTTTCACGAAGCAAATAGTCTTTGGTGTATGTATTGTCTGCGAGTATGTATGTATGTATGTGAGTTCGCCAAACATATCGATGGCGTACGTGAAGAGAGTGTAAATGTGTATGTGAACATGAAGACTTGACGCTCATTGCGCGAACGTCAATCGTATCTCTCACGAAACGATGTTCGTTAAATGAGCGTCGCACGAACGAAAGCGCTCAACAGAATACAAAAACAGAAAGAACGGAAGCCTCTGGCTTAGATCGAGAGCGAGAGAGCATGATTTCTTTCGTTTAATTTGGCGAATAGAGCGTGAATAATAAAACGGACAACCATCGTTTGCAAGCTATGAATATAAATAATTTAATAATCCACGATTTGAATCTCTCTTTAAAAAGAAATTGAATTGATAAAAATGTGTGCATGTATGTATCAATAATAATTATATTGATAAAAAAAAAAAATTGTTTGTTTAGTATCAGAGCATAATATTGTGTAAACTTCAAACTGATTAAATATGGATAGAATAAAATTTAAATATTGATAGAAGATAAAACAAGCGACATAAGCTAATTATTATAAAAGAGGCAAACTTTAATGTTCCAATAGCTGTCTGTACTCGTTAAGTATTTGCTCCTCCTGCTCCAAGGGTAAGTCCAAATAGTCCTGATCGATATCGGGAATATCCTCATTGAAGCGCTTGTAGGCGCTATACGATTCGATTTCAGTCTGAGCCTTGCTCAGCACCGACTTAACCAGAGCCAGCTTGCTGGGCGTGAGCGCAGTCAATCGAGCGAATGAGGTGGATGTGGAGGCGGAGGCAGAAGCAGACTCATCCGTGGCAGCGCCCTGTTCGGTCAAACTGGTCATGTGCTCGATGACACTGTTCAGCTCCTGCTCGGTGGCAAAGCTTTTGAGCAGAAAGTCAATGGCGTTGTCGAGATTATTGCGAGTGGTTTCTAGAGCGGCACGAGCAGCGGACAGCTTGAAGCCGAGCTCGCGTAGAGTGAAGAGCATTTGCTCGTCGGCTGTCTGGGTGGCGGGCAGATTGCGACGCAGCTCTTCCGAGTGAGATTGCAGCAGCTCCAGGCTCTTGGTTATATCGTTGCCAGTGCGACGCAGTGCCTCTACGACGAGCGAGCGCTCGTAGCCCAGCTCCATGAGACGACAGACGCTGCGCGGATGCACCCAATCACGATCATCGTTGCCCACCTGCATCTGGGCTAGGCGACGGCTCAGCTCCCGCTCCGAGTCGGAGTTTAGACGAGCCTGTTGCACGCTGAGTCTACGCTGTTGGATAAACTGCACCGCCCGCTCCACATTGCCATTGCTGGAGCGTAGAGCCAAACGCGCTGCCGACGCATCGAAGCCCATTTCCATCAGCACTGCCAGCTGCTCGGTATTCACCTTCAGCTCGCCCAAAGCTGTGGCCACAGTTTGCAGACGCGACCGCGCCTCATCGTGGCGATTCGAGTGGAAAAGGATGATGCCCTGGAGCAGCTGCAGCCGCACAATAATCGCACGCTCCGGACAACTGGAGCCCTTCAGAGCATACAAGCGACTAAAGTTCGGACCATAGCTGCGCTGCAGAATGCGCTCGCAGACATCGAGCCGGCGCTGTGCATCCGGCAGCTGAGTTATGTTCTTCAAACACAAATAGCACCACACAATGTCCAAGTTGAGCAGCGCATAGTTGTCCACGCATTCCAGAAACTTTGAGTCACAATTGTTGAACTTCTCGTCCGCTTCAAGGAAGAGCAGCAGGGCCTCATCGTATTGCTCCCGGCGCATGGCTGAGCGCGCCTTTTCGCACAGCGCCATGCCCAGGAGTAGGGCACGATTCTCGTGCGGTGGCAGAAACATGGCGTTGCCATCCTGATCCTCTAGATCTACAAAATGATGATCCGAATCGATGACCAGTTCGACATCCCGCATTATCTGCCGTATGCGCTCATAGAGCGCCTCACCCTGGGCATCCGCCTGACCCACAATCACGAGCAACTGTTGATTGTTCTTCAAGCCCTGGTCTTGCAGCGTCGCCTGTGGCGCCACCATCCGGCCCGCCGATATGCACTTCACGTGATCCGCCTCACTCAGCCGCAGCTCATGCGCAATTTTAGCCTGCAGCATGGCGCCCGGCTCGGCCAGTTTGCACTTCACCTGCAGCAAGCGAACGGTGCCCCCGTGGCTGTCCACGCAGCGCACGTGGAAGGTGGCCAGCCCCGTCTCATTGAACTCGCGGCGAGCGCTCAATTTGCGCAGCGCGTGCTGCTGCAGCTCCAGCAATGAGTTTTTGCAGCTAGCTGCACTTATGTGCATCTCACGGCTCAGCTCCTGAGCGAGCCCCTCCACGGCCGCATCACTGGTGCCCACATTTTCCACATAATACGGCGACTCCCACAACTTTACGCCACGCTGCTGTAAACGTGCGCGCAGTCGCATCAGATTATTCTCCGAATCGGACATTTCTATAAGCTATTCTTCACCTTCGTACACGAGTTTTTTTTCAGTACTGACGTATTGCTCAAAATCCATATATATTTTTTCCAAATTTTTTTTGTCACATTTCATTTAAACATTTTTAAATTCCGCAAAAATAATTTTGACTTTTAAATCACATGAATTCGACAGGACCAAAATTGTTCATATACTATTTAACTAGCAAATTTATCAAATTTGTTTTTCAACTTGAGTTCAGAATCTATTTTTGGTTGGAATTCTTTCCGCGAAGATATTCCTCATGAAGCTTTCAAGAATTCTTCATATTGGCAAATATCCAAGATATTGGTAATATTGTTAAGGATACAATACAAGGTATAAGAGATTAATGGAACAAGCAAAAAAGGTTTACAATAACGTTAAGTATGAGGTTACATAAAGTTATGTACGTCATCTATAAATGCATGCAATATTTACTCAATGAAACACTCGGAAAAATTGAAAAAAGTATATCTCTTCTAAAAACTCTCCGAATTTAATGAAATACAATTTTTTATATTGAAATCAGTTGAATAGCTTATTATTTATGAAGAATATGATTTCACTGAAGGCACAAATTATATTATATTATTCAACTATATATAAGTATAGTACATTCAAAATAGACGTATCTCATAAAAAAGTAACATTTTATAAGTCAAGTAGACGAATTTCAAGTCGAACGGGACAGCCAGACTTGCATAGCGCAAAACCAATAAACTCGTATTAGTTCGGGAACGCCTGTAAAGTGGGAGAAGAGAGCGCAGAGCAAAGCTCTTGGCATTCAACATGTTGTAACGAATTACCAAGCAACAAATCTCTAATTTTCTTGGCCTTGTGCACAGAGCCAATTATCGCCACGGAAATTCACTCAGCGAGAAGCAGAGAAAGAAGCAATGGAAACGACGCATTGGAAAAAGTGGAAAAAGGGCGACTTAACGAGCCCCAAAGACGCGGCGACAAATTAAAAGCGATAAACCACAGACAAAAGTCGTCCACACAGCGTACAATCAACTGGAAGGAGAGAGAGAGAGAGAGAGGGAGAGACCAAATGTCATTGTCAGCTTAACGCAGGCGACTTGTTTGGCCCTCTGTCTCTCTGTCTGCGTGTGTATGTGTGTGTACATATATATATAGAGAGAGAGAAGGTATATATGTGTGCGTGTGCATTAGTGTGAGTGAGGAACAATGTGGGTAATAAATGTTATGTGCGGTTAAGGGTTAATAACTGCAACAAAGGCGCCAGAAAAAGTAAGAAGTAAAGCCCAGCAAGGCCAAGACAGTTTATAGATAGACTACAATACATACACCAAGAGAAAAATTTCAGTATCGTACACAGAAAACAAATAATAACTTCCTTTTGAGTAACAAAATTTTTTAAATTTATTTGAGTTAAATAAATAATAAATACTTTTATGAAGTCTTTCTAATTATCAATTTTATATAGTATTGCATTGCCTACACTGAAAAAAAATCTAATCCAGAAATGAAGCTTAAATACAGTAAAAGAAAATTTTGTTTTTCTTTTGATAACAATTGTTAGCACTATATGGGAAATACGACTATCAATTTTCTCTGAGTGTACTTTCTGTCCCTGTCCCACAGCTGTCGCAGAAGTGTGGCTGCTAATGAAAAGTGCCGCGGCTTATTGTGTATGGCAAAAAAAAAAAAAAAATGAATGTCTGTTCGGAATAAGTTTACGCCTCGGGTCCGAATTGTCCTCTTTGCTAAATGTTCTGTTTCGCCTTTTTCTTCGCCAAGTTCTACTACTTTTTCTGCTCCCACTCTGACTTGTGGTGTGAATAAATGGATGAATCTCTAATGCAGTTGCTGGCCATGATGAAGTAGCCAGCGTGCTTGAACGATGGAAGGAGGCAGCAGAAGGAAGGCCTTGCGTCCATTTGATGGGTTGGTTTGTGTATGGCTGGGAATGTGTTTATCTGTGTGTGTATGTGTGTGTAGTTTGTTGTTTGGCAAACGCCATGCTGTGTGTAGATGTTTAATTGTTTGCTTCAGTTTCTTTGCTGCCTTGCCCCTTGATATCGTTTATTAAAGCGAAGGCAAAGAGATGCTTTCGATTTTTATATCCTGAAGCCATTGAAAATGGGAAATCAGGGTATAATGGTTCTGTTGAGATGTATGTAACAGGCAGAAGGATGGGCGGGATAGACCCCACAAAGTATATATATATTAATCAGGGCGACGAGCTGCGTCGATTCGGCCCTGTCCATCTCCTGTCCATCCGTCTGTCCGTATGTATGAACGCGTATACATATGCATATTCATTCAAGTTTCTTTCATAGTCTTTCTTAAATAATAATCAAAATATTTTTAATATAATTTTCTCGCATTGTATCCAATATTGTCCTGTTTTCTATTCCACGCATTAGTGGCACCTCCTTAACCACTGTGATCTGACAGATACCAGCAGATGCGCATGCATTGTCATTATTCTTGCCGCTTACTGACGCCTAGAGTTGTGCCTGGCCTGTATAGTGGAAATGACACAAGTTAAATGTTAAGTAAGTGTTACTGACAGCTACGTTGCATCTAGAAACAGCTGCCACGGGGGGTGGCATTCTTCTTTACACCCAAGCAACTCGCATTGACTCGACTCGACTCGACTCGACTCGACTTGACTTGCCCTGTCTACACAAGTATCCTTGTTGTTAGCCTGTAAATAAAATCAGTGCCTTGTAGCCAGAGCCAGAGCCAAAGTTGGCAAAGTTTTGCTGCACTAACTGACTTGTCGTCGTCAGCAGTCGGTCGGCACTTGGTATTAAACTAAAGTGAACAACATCCTGCCAGGACTGCACACGCTCACATCCTTCAAGCGAGCGACACAAAGTTGACAACCGACAAGTCACATTCTGGTACATTAAGTTAATGAAATGATTTGCCGGCGCCCCCCAACCTTTAGAGATCTTTGAAACTTAAAATGTGACAATCTCTTTAGGATCATAAATTTGAGCAAATCATCAAAAAACAACAACAACAGCAATTCGAATAACAATAGCCACAGACATCAGGATGATGCGACCAATTGTGCATCATTAATCTTTCAATACAAATGCGGTTCAATGTTTCTGACAGCGGGGTAGAAAGAAAGCCACAAAAAAAGAGCTGGCACGCAACCTGGGAAGAGACGGTGATTTGTGGGAGTATTAAGCAATCAAATATCCTACACACTGATCAAATACCCTATTCTAGTATATCTGATGTCAAATTAACATAAACTTCTCTCTTTCGGTATTTTCCTCAAGCAGCTGAACATATTAACATACATAACCCTCGATTATTAGAAATTTATTTTACTTGAATTATATAATAATTATGTTATAATCATAATAATTTGTTAAATTCAAATACCAATAAATAGATATTTAAGATATTAAAAATACATATATTTTATTAAAATAAAAATATTATTTAAAATATGGAAATTTCTATACATGAAATTTCTATAAAAAAAAAAAAATAATAATAATAATAAATATTTTATTTATTCATTTAGTTATAATAAATTATAATTGAAATGCATTTTTCAGTTTCAGTTTTTTTTTTTTTTTTTTTTTGGCATTTCAAACTATCCTTCTCATTGTAGCCAAATTGTTGACAATGTAAGGGAACGCTTCATGTGAAAGAAAAAAGAGCATTCAGTTCTCACACAGCGCGAGATGATATGGGGGCGGGGTAGATGGTAGAAGAAGGTCGGCCACTCTATGGGGGTGCTTGCAGCGGGAGCAGCTTTTGTCATTTACAAGCCCCGTGAAGTATTCAACGCGTCTGGCTTTGATGGCCATGCAGTGGCGACATATTACTTCCTTATTTGTGGGCCGTACAAACGACCTTTGGCTGGCAGCAGCGGCCCACCCTCAGCAACCCCCTAAGCACACACAACACACCGAACACACACACACACACACACATACACACCTCAAACAAGCGTCACGCAGTCAAAAAGTGAAACATTTCGTGCCGCAATTTCCACTAAAAATTATGCATTTAACAACAAGGATATGTGTATATGTATATGTATACATATGTATATGTATATACGTCTGTGTGTTGCTGTTGGTGTGTGTGCCTGGCAAACACGCGCGTTAAAACAATGACTGGACGCCAACATTTTGTGTTGACAGCGAGCCAAACATCCGCCAGATAAAAATGCTGCACACTTCGAAATTTGATTGAATCAACGACACGAGGATCCGTGGATACGTGGATTCAATGACAGCGGGTGGTGCGGCTGGCTGTGGGTGGTGCTATCCGCCGCTATACGCTTTGTCATTGTGCCTGGCTCTCGCTCTCTGGACATGGAAGGCTGCCCGAAATGGCACTGGGAATAGAGGATGAGCGGTAGAACGCGACGCGGAATTGTTGCTGGGATGATAATGATAAGCGTATAAAACCATTAAGTGATTCTACTTAAATGAGCACGTTGGGATTAATGTGATGCTGCTTCCTTTTCTATTTTCATGTTTTCTTTTTTTTCTGCTTCTCTGCATCAACGTTTTCGTTGTCTGCTTTTAGGCGTGGCCGGTTTTAGAGGTGCACGACTCGAGCGAGATTTTTGTGAAATGACTAAGACAATGGCTAAAAATGTTTTCATTTTGTTAAGATGTGCGTTGTAGATAACGTGAATTAGATTAAATATTGATTTGTTTTGCAGAAGAACCAACACGCTACCCCACAAAATAATTAAATAATTTTCATTTTCAATATAACGATAAGTTTAATAAAAAATATAGCTAAACAAACAGTTAAGCAACCAAGAAACTAATAAGCTTTAACATCATATAACAGTGACTATCAAACTATTCTACAAAAATTTATCGAGTGCAAGCAAACTCCTTGAAACCACTGTAAAATCAACTAATTGAATATAACAAAGCTGTAAAAAAGAACAAGGGAGAGTGTAACGAGACCACAAATAAAAGAGCATCGTCTTTCATTTGGTCACAAACATGAAGTGAGTTAGAACCTATTGTTAATGTCGCCCCACACATGGGGTTTTACCGGGGCGTTTCACGTGAAATGGCCAACAAGGTGACAATGCAGATATAATGCGATATACGGCAGATGAAACGACCAGCATGTTGGGCCCCCGACGTCGATGATGACGACAAGAGCAACAACGTTTGACGATTCGCAATTGATAATACTTAATGTGAACTGTGTCGCAGTCAATCTCACTGATGACTGATGAATGCTGAGCCGTTTGCTGTTGCTGTGGTTGCTGAGAAGAGAAGGGCGGGCACTGGAAAAAAAAAAACAGGAGGTGACAATACGCTTATCTCCTAACTTTACGCACAATATAGCAGACCAGCCAGCCGGCAATGTTAAATGATGACGACGAGGCGCACATATTTAATGAACAACCTTATAATCCCTGTAAGATGAATGCTTTAAACTAAAGTAAACACAAAAACCCATCAAGTAAAAGTCAAGTCAAAAAATTAATGAAACAAGTAAATATTCTTTACGTTCGTCCATGCTGCTTGTGAAGAGAGCTATAGAACAGAAAAA